ATAAAGATATCCGTATCGCTGCACTTCAACATGTCCACCAAAAATGACATGCGTTATATTCAGTTTAGCTTCCATTTTAGAATAAACTGTACATTTTCTGAAAGTATGACTGAACTGATCACCTCATTAACTGGCAGGAAGGCACACAGTTACTCTCTACATGTCTGTCGTCACAGTTCTGAAGATGATTGGTTTTTATCAGAGTGTGGGCCTCGATGGATCTTATTAACCTCTCCACAAAACAATTACATCATCTTTCAAACTGTGGTGTTCTGGCCTCACAAACAGGAGCTTTAGTGGCTCAAAAACTGTATTTTATCCTTTGAATATGAATACAAATATTAACCGCAGAGAAACAATTCTGCACCCAATACAAGCAAGAACTGCTGAAGTGTGAATTAAGACACGTGAGTGAGAGGAAAGTAGATTTCAGAGTTCCCACTTTGTGTGTAGACTGTTTTTTTAGTGGTAAAAAATAAAAGGGCCCACCCCAACTTTTCTGAGATGTGTTGTTGTTGCTATCAAACACAGCATAAAGAGTTTAAATCTGAAGACAGGGCCATCATTTAAGTAACGTTGATTTAATTTTGAGCATGTCAGAGTTACCTTTGGAAATGTATAAGTTTTAATCTATCTAGTTTGTTATCTTATGCTGTATGATTATAGCTAAATGGAATCCAAATGCTGATTTTTTTAAAGAATAATTTGACTGTTCCACTTACAGATGAAAATTATGAATAGTATCATAACTTATAGGAATCACTTGTCTTTAGGCATAGTATTGCTTTTTTTTTGTTAAAGAAATTAACCATTTTGGGGGGTTAGATATGTCTTTCATTTTCAGTCCATATATGATGGCATTAAAAAGATGATGACATACATATTAAAGAAATAGAAGTGGCTTGCATTTTGATTAATTTGAAAAAAAAGTACACACAAATCACACTTTTACAAAGCCACTCTTAAAGATATTATTTGTATTATAAAGCAGGCCCTCATGTCTTTTCATTACTGTTACAATAACAGATCTTACATACATTTATTTTTTGCCTGTGAAAACAATTTCCTTCAAGTGTCAGGAAATTTCCTTCATCCTCAG